TTTTTTTTTTTTGTTTGTTTTGTATCAGGACCTATGAAACATTTTCCAACGCTTCATCAGGGTTTTATATATTGACAAATGATTTTTAAACAAAAGAATGAAAATGTTTAAAAAGAAATAATTTCGCTAAAATGGTAATGGTTTGAGCAATTAAACACACCTGTCTAAAATTTTCATCAAGATGACTGTTAAAATATATTGATATATTGGATATTCATGCATTTCTCAAAAACAGAATGTGCAGATGGTGCAGTGGACAGTAACTCATGAAAAATTGGAGAAGTTCATAAATTTATTTAAAATAAAAAGGTATAATCTATCTTCTTCCACAGTAAATAATGAATTTATTTTTCTAAAAAATAAAAATAAACTTGTTAGTGAAATTTATAAAGAAAAAAGAATGAAAGGAAAGAGAGAAAAAATAAATAAAAAGAATTAGAGATTTGAATCCCCAGTGAGATTCTGTTCCAGAAATCAAAAATCCAAAGGAAAAAGAGTGTGAGTTCAAACCTGGAAGAGAGAGAGAAATCAAAGATAACTGAATGAAATTAAACATGGCATGAGAACAGTCTAGAGAAAGAAAGATTAACATTCCAACCAGAAAGCAAAAAGAAAAAATATGGAATAATATAAAAGAATGAGAGAGAAATTACAAAATTGTCCCAACAGAGAGAGAAAGAATAAAAAATAAAGGAAATATTCTCTGTTATAACAGAAATTAGATAAAGTTTCTAGAATTGTCCCAACATGAATGAAAAAAAGAGAGAGAGAAAGAAAAAAATCAATGAAAGTAGGATAAAGAAAGAAAGAATGAAAGGAATGAGAGGAAAAGAAAAAGAATAAAAGGAAATTTGAAAGAAGGAAGGAAGAAAATGAGAGAGTTAAAAAATTCAAAATGAAAAATAAAGAAAAACCTTGGGCCAAAGGTATAAAATTTTTTTCTCCAACAAAAAAGAAAATGAAAAAGAAACCAAAAGAAAAAAAAAGAAAAGAAAAAAAAAATACTTTCACTTTCAGAATGAAAGGAGAGCAAGATATGGAATGAAAAACAGAAAACAAAATGAAAACCAAGAAAGAGAGAGAAAGAAAAACTCCTGAACAATGAAAGGAAATGAAAATGAAATAACAACTTAAGATGATGGAAAATAAAAAGAAAAAAACAAAGGAAATGAGAGAGAAAAGAAAAAAAACTGAAATGAGAGAAATGAGAGGGAAAAATTGATCAAAAAATGATGAAAGAAAGAGGGGAAAGAAAAAAATGAAAGAAAGAGAGGAAAGAAAAAAATGAAAAAAGTGTGTCTTGGGGTAGAAGAAAGAATTAGAGAGAAATAGAGAGAAATCAAAGAAAAGGAAAGAGAGAGAAAAATCAAAAGAAGAAAACAAACTAAAAGGAAAGAGAGAAATAAAGAAAGAATTTTGAGAGAAAAAGCAAAAAGAATAAAAGGAATAATATAAAGAATGAGAGAAAAGCAAAAGAATGAAAGGAGAGAGAGAAAGGAAAAAGAATGAAAGGAGAGAGAGAGAAAAAAAAAATGAATGAATAAAGGAGAGAGAGAGAAAGAAAAAGAAAAGAATGAAAAGGAAAGGAGAGAGAGAAAAGAAAAAAAAGAAAAGAAAAGCAAAATAACAAAAAGAAAGGAGAAAGAGAGAAAAGAAAAGAATGAAAGGAGAGAGAGAAAGAAAAGAAAATGAAAGGAGAGAGAGAAAGAAAAAAGAAATGAAAGGAGAGAGAGAAAGAAAAGAAAATAAAAAAAAAGAATGAAAGGAGAGAGAAAATAAAAGAATGAAAGGAGAGAGAGAAAGAAAAAAAAAGAATGAAAGGAGAGAGAGAAAAGAAAAGAATGAAAGAGAGAGAGAGAAAGAAAAGAATGAAAGAGAGGAGAGAGAAAGAAAAAAAAGAAAAGAAAAAAGAATGAGAAAGAAAAAAAAGAATGAAAGGAGAGAGAAAAAAGAAAGAAAGGAAAAGAAGGAGAAAAGAAAGAATGAAAAAAGAGAATGAAAGGAAAGGAGAGAGAGAGAAAGAAAAAGAATGAAAGGAAAGAGAGAAAGAAAAAGAATGAAAGGAGAGAGAGAGAAAGAAAAAGAATGAAAGGAGAGAGAGAAAGAAAAAAGAATGAAAGGAAAGAAGAGAAAGAAAAGAATGAAAGAGAGAAGAAAAAAAAAAAAGAAAAAGAAAGGAAAAAGAATGAAAGAAAGAGAAAGAAAAAATGAAAGGATGAAAAAAGAATGAAAGGAGAGAGAAAGAAAAAAAAGAATGAAAGGAGAGAGAAGAAAAAAAAAAAAATGAAAGGAGAGAGAAAAAGAAAAGAATGAAAGGAGAGAGAGAGAAAGAAAAAGAATGAAAGGAGAGAGAGAGAAAGAAAAAGAATGAAAGGAGAGAGAGAAAGAAAAAAGAATGAAAGGAGAGAGAAAGAAAAAAGAATGAAAAAAAAAAATGAAAAAGAATGAAAAGAGAGAGAGAAAAAAAAATGAAAGGAGAGAGAGAGAAAAAATGAAAAAAGAGAGAAAGAAAAAGAATGAAAGGAGAGAGAGAAAGAAAAAGAATGAAAGGAGAGAGAGAGAAAGAAAAAGAATGAAAGGAGAGAGAGAAAGAAAAAGAATGAAAGGAGAGAGAGAAAGAAAAAGAATGAAAGGAGAGAGAGAAAGAAAAAGAATGAAAGGAGAGAGAGAAAGAAAAGAATGAAAGGAAAGAGAGAGAAAGACAAAGAATGAAAGGAAAGAGAGAGAAAGACAAAGAATGAAAGGAAAGAGAGAGAAAGACAAAGAATGAAAGGAAAGAGAGAAAGAAAAAGAAAAAGAAAGAGAGAGAAAGAAAAAGAAAAAGGAGATAGAGAAAGAAAAAGAAAGAAAAAAAGAATGAAAGAGAAAAAGAAAAAGAATGAAAGGAGAGAGAAAGAAAAAGAATGAAAGGAAAGAGAAAGAAAAGAATGAAAGAGAGAGAAAAAAAATGAAAGGAGAGAGAGAAAGAAAAGAATGAAAGGAGAGAGAGAGAAAGAAAAAGAATGAAAGGAGAGAGAAAAAAAAAGAATGAAAGGAGAGAGAGAAAAGAAAAAGAATGAAAGGAGAGAGAGAGAAAGAAAAAGAATGAAAGGAGAGAGAGAGAAAGAAAAAGAATGAAAGGAGAGAAAAGAAAAGAAAAAAAGGTTTGAGAGAGAAAGAAAAAAAAAATGAAAGGAGAGAGAAAAGAAAAGAATGAAAAAAAGAGAGAGAAAAAAGAAAAAGAATGAAAAGAATGAAAGAGAGAGAGAAAAAAAGAATGAAAGGAGAGAGAAAGAAAAGAAAAAAAGGAGAGAGAAAAAGAAAAAAGAATGAAAGGAGAGAGAAAAAAAGAATGAAAGGAGAGAGAAAAAAAAAAGAAAGAAAGAGAGAGAAAAAAGAAAAAACGAAAAGAAAGAAAAATGAAAGGAGAGAGAGAGAAAGAAAAAGAATGAAAGGAGAAAAGAAAAAAAGAATGAAAGGAGAGAGAAAAGAAAAAATGCTATGAAAGGAGAGAGAGAAAGAAAAGAATGAATGAAAGGAGAGAGAAAAGAAAAAAAATGAAAGGAGAAAGAAAAGAGAAAGAAAAAAAAAGAAAGAAAGGAAGAGAGAGAAAAAAAAGAATGAAAGGAAGAGAGAAAAAAAAATGAAAGGAGAGAGAAAAAAAAGAAAAAAAAGAATGAAAAGAAAAGAATGAAAGGAGAGAAAAAAAAGAATGAAAGGAGAGAGAGAGAAAAAAAAAAGAATGAAAGGAGAGAGAAAAGAAAAAGAATGAAAGGAGAGAGAGAAAGAAAAAGAATGAAAGGGAGAGAGAAAGAAAAAGAATGAAAGGAAAGAAAAAAGAATGAAAGGAGAGAGAGAAAGAAAAGAATGAAAAGGAGAGAGAGAAAAGAAAAAAGAATGAAAGGAGAGAGAGAAAAAAAAAAAAATGAAAGGAGAGAGAGAAAAAAGAAAAAGAATGAAAAGGAAAGAGAAAGAAAAAAGAATGAAAAAGAGAATGAAAGAATGAAAGGAAAGAGAAAAGAGAGAGAAAAAAAGAAAAAAAGGAAAGAGAGAGAAAAAAAAGAAAAAGAAAAGAAAAAAGAAAAGAAAAGAAAGAGAGAAAGCAAAAATGAAATGAAAGAGAGAGAAAAAAAGAAAAGAATAAGAGAGAAAGAGAAAGAGAAAGAATGAAAATAAAAAGAAAGAAAGAAAAGAATGAAAGGAAAGAGAAAGAAAAAAAAGAATGAAAGGAAAGAGAAAGAAAGAAAAAGAAAAAGAATGAAAAAGAAAAAAATGAAAGAGAGAAAAAGAAAAGAATGAAAGGAAAAAAGAAAAAAATGAAAGGAGAGAAGAGAAAAAAAAAAAAGAAAGGAAGAAAAGAAAAAGAATGAAAGAAGAGAAAAAAAAAAGAAAAAGGAGAGAGAGAAAAAAAGAATGAAAGAGAGAGAGAAAAGAAAAAGAATGAAAGGAGAAAGAGAAAAAAGAAAAGAAGAGGTGAAAAAAGAATGAAAGAGAGAAAAAAGAAAGGAGAAAGAAAAAATGAAAGGAGAGAGAGAAAAAAAAAAGAATGAAAGGAGAGAGAAAAAGAAAAAGAATGAAAGGAGAGAGAAAAAAAGAATGAAAGGTTCATGAAAGAAAGAAAAGAATGAAAGGAGAGAGAAAAAAAAAGAATGAAAGGAGAGAGAGAAAGAAAAAGAATGAAAGGAAGAGAGAGAAAGAAAAGAAAAGGAGAGAGAAAAAAAAGAATGAAAGAGAAAGAAAGAAAAAGAAAAAGGAGAGAGAGAGAAAGAAAAAAAGAATGAAAGGAGAGAGAGAAAAAAAAAAAAATGAAAGGAGAGAGAAAAGAAAAGAATGAAAGGAGAGAGAAAAAAAAAAAAAGAATGAAAGGAGAGAGAGAGAAAGAAAAAGAAAGAAAAGAAGAGAGAGAGAAAGAAAAAGAATGAAAGGAGAGAGAGAAAAAGAATGAAAGGAAAAAGGGAGAATAAAAAAGAATGAAAGGAAAGAGAGAGAACCACAAAGAATGAAAGGAAAGAGAGAAAGAATTAGAGAGAAAGCAAAAGAATGAAAGAGAGAGAGATAAGAAAATGAATGAACGGAATGAGAGAGAAAGAAAAAAAGAATGAAAGGAAAGAGAGAGAAAGAAAAAAAAATGAAAGGAAAGAGAGAGAAAGAAAAAGAATGAAAGGAAAGAGAGAGAAAGAAAAAGAATGAAAGGAAAGAATGAAAAGAATGAAAAGAGAGAAAAAAAAGAATGAAAGGAAGAGGAAAAGAAAATGAAAGGTGAGAGAGAAAGAATTAGAGAGAAAGCAAAATAATAAAAGGAATAAGAGAAAGAATGATAGGAGAGAGAGAGAAAGAAAAAGAATGAACGGAATGAGAGAGAAAGAAAGAGAGAGAAAGAATGAGAGAGAAAGCAAAAGAATGAAAAGAAAAAGAGAAAGAGAAAGAAGAGAAAGAGAAAGAATGAGAGAGAAGGAATAAGCATGAAAAGAAAAAGAAAAAGCAAAAGAATATGAGAGGAAGCTAAAAGAATGAAAGGAAACGGAGAAAGCCATTAGAACAACAGGAAAGTAAGAAGAATGATTCTGTCTTTATCTTCTGCCTTTTTGAGTCCTTTTCTCTTCAATAAACTTTCTCATATCCAGTTTCATGATGCAGTTGAAAGTAAAACAACATTATATATTACTGATCACATTTGTGATCTTATCTTAACATTAGCTGAAGGTTATCAGTGCAATATTTGTGCTAGGTAGTAAATATACATTTGAGTTATTTAACAACTGAATACACATGACCAGATAAACGCATGACATAAATCACATGGTTTATTTGGCGTCGGTCGGGTAATATATATATATATATATATATATATATATATCATATAATTAATTCATTGAGTCTTTATTAGAAAAACTCAGCAGGAATAGAGGAAGCACTGGACAGCCGTTTCATAAAGGTAATTGGGACTCATCAGCAGTGCAAGATTCACCAAACATATACAAACCCACAGTTGGGTTGTCAAGCAGACAACATACCAACTGTACCAAAATGGGTCGGAGATTCATATCAGACTCAACTTAGACCAAAGTATGGTTATACAAAGTTGAGTTCCGCACGGAATATGTGAGATATATAAGTTGAGTCTGATTGGAAAAAGAACCGAGACCCATTTGGTACAGTTGGTATGTTGTCCGTTGACAACCCAACTGTCAGGGTTTCAACACCAGTGGTGGATGCGCACTGCTGATGAGTCCCAATTATAGGACGAAACGGCCGTCCAGTGCTTCCTCTATTCCTGCTGAGGTTTCTATCAGACTCAATGAATTAATTATATGATTATCAAATCCTCCTACTTACTATATATATATATATATATATATAATAAAGTCCCCAGTAAGCATTCATTAATAAAGCTGTCATTCCTACTTTGGGATCATTCATAGGATATTCATTTAATCCTTTTATTTGACTGCTCAGTGTTTTGGTACATGTAGTACAGACTGAAAATGTGAGTAATGACAACATTTTAAGGAAAATGGAAACAAAAAGGGCACTTATACTTAGAATCAGAAAGAAAAAGTTGAAATTTCTAAAACATGCAAGAAAAGAAGGCTTGGAAAATGTGACACTTACAGGACATATTGACAGCAAGAGGGCAGACGGAAACAGTGAATAGCTGACCTAACAATCTTGTGTAAATGGATGGTAGAACAGAGAAGGAGAGAGATGGTTGAAAAGATAAACTGTACTAAAAGTTATATAGGATACAAAGTTATGGAAAGTCATGACTGTCAACACCCTGAAGGAACATGTCACTCAGAAGATGTTAGGGTACTAAAACCTTTGAAAAAAAAAAAAAAAAAAGGATTGAAATATTTGCATACTGATCACCAGTGCTGGAGGTTAGTGTTTGAGTCCAGCTAAGTACGCCAGAAATTTGAATTTATCGACAGGAAGATTGTTGTTACTTTGAAATCTAGAACAATAAGATTTAGTTAAAACATTGTAGTCTTGCACTAGTATCAGCTATGCAAAAACTAATCAGGTCATGCTTAGTTACTGAAATAGTTATATATTTCACAAGAACATAAGGGAAATGTTTTTTTTTTTTTTTTTTAAATCAATTCACCCCAAAGTGATAATGTCACTAAAATGAATAAAAAAAGAATGAGAAAGACTTCAGGTAGGAGTGGCAGGGCTGTGAAGTCGGAGTTGGAAACAATTAAGGGGTCACTGAATTCAGAGTCAGTCAAACTATACTGACTCCTACTCCAGTTGAATTTATACTTGATGTAAAAAGTCTTACATTATAGAATTTTTATTGCTATTTCTTTTACTGTATATTTACGATTTCCTTTAAAGAAATTCATCTCAACTTCTTTTTTAAAGTTATTTTATTTTTTTGTAATTATCTTGTATTTGCAAAACAATATATGTAAAAAAATCTTACATTAAATTTTGATTTTTGTCATGTGTTTTACATCCTGTAAAAGATTAAATTTCAACTTGTTATAAAGTAGTTTTATTTTTGTTCAGTTCTTATTTGCAAATATATATATGTAAAACGTCTTACATTAGAGCATTTTTATTGTTATTTCATCTATATCCTTTCAAAGATTTTGTCTGTAATTGTTAGAAAATATTGAATAATGAATAGGTATGATATAAAAGCTACAATATCTTTATTCTTTGATATAAACCAATTATAATGATATAGGCCTACTCAAATTAGGAGTGAATGCACAGTCATTATGAGATTTGTAGGCCATAATCATTTAATTACATAAAGTGGAGTCAGAGGTGCCAAAAATAGAGGCGTCAAAGTCAAAGGTTTTGTGTTTCAACTCCACAGTCCTCAGGAGAAGTGAGGAAAAGGACAATAAAAGGACAGGATTAAGGAAGATAGAAGATGGTAAATGATGTTGCATTTATACTTTTGAAGATTACAGGTAGTTTTATTTTTGTTCAGTTCTTATTATTTGCAAATATATATATATATATAGAGTGGGTGGAAATAAATATTCGTACACTTGATAAATTGTATTTTTATAAATGTAAAAGCCTTAAATAAAACAAATCTTGGCACATTTTATGTATAAAGACACATACTATTAAAAAATAATGATAAAGTTAATTAATTCTTATTCTAACAGAAATTTATGCATTTTTTTAATTCTAAATGGTGAAAAAAGTATTTGTACAAATCAATTATTAGAATAAAATAATCAATTATGAAAAAAGTATATTCTAGAATGTTCCAGTAATGTTATCAGTAATTATAGTTAACGCTATTAGCCATTATCAGAGCATTCTGCAATTTCTAGTCTTATGAGAAGGTTCTAATAATGCCTAAAGGTAAAGAAATGACTATTTCACAAAAACAACACATTTTGTCTCTTTGGAAAGATGGGAACAGTTACTGAATGATTTCTAACAACCTGAATATTCCTTTTACTACAATTGCTTCGTTCATTGCAAGGTTTAAAACTCATAACAGCGTCAAAAACCAAAGACGAACAGGTGCTCCGAGGAAGATTTCTCTAAGATCAGCAAGGATATTAGGACGCCAGATCTAACAAAATCCACAGGTTACCCGAGAAGAGCTGCAGGAACATCTGCGTGCATTAGGGATTAAAGTAACCAAGCATACAATAAGTAATGAACTACACAAAAACAGTTTGAAATCATGCATCCCAAGGAAGACTCCACTCCTCTTGAAGCGACACAGAGATGCTAGGCTAAAATTTGTTAGAGAGTATAATGATAAAGAATATTCATTTTGGGAAAAAGTACTATGGACAGATGAAACTCAAATAGAGTTGTTTGGTCATAATTATCAAAATCATGTGTGGAGGAAGGACGGTGAAGCCTACTTACCAAAGAACACATTGCCAACTGTAAAGTTTGGTGGTGGCAGTATCATGATCTGGGGCTGTTTTTCTGCAAAAGGTGTTGGCAGAATATCAATAATAGATGGCAAGATGAATGCTGAAAGCTACCAGAAAATCCTGCAAGACAATTTAATGCATTCTGTTGAGAGACTTTGGCTACCTCCTGATTGGGTTTTCCAACTGGATAATGATCCTAAGCATACCATTAGATCTACAAGGAAATGGTTAGCTGAAAGTAACGTTGATGTCTTGCAATGGCCAAGTCAGTCCCCAGACTTGAACCCAATCGAGAATTTTGGTGATATTTGAAAATTCAAAATGGGAAAAGAGCACCAACAAATATCAAGAATTTGAAGACAATATGCCAAGAAGAATGGGACAAAATACCACTCAATGTGTGCAAATCATCAGTTGAGACGTACAGGAATAGACTGGTAGCTGTTGAACTCAATAAAGGATATTCCACAAAGTATTAAACTAAGTTAATATGATTTTTTTTGTTTTGTACGAATACATTTTTCATCAGTTAAAATGAAAAAATTGCATTAATTTCTGTTAGAATAAGAATTAATTAAGTTTATTATTATTTTTTTTAATAAAATGTATCTTTACACATAAAATGTATCAACATTTGTTTTAGTTAAGGCTTTTACATTTATAAAAATACAATTTTTCAAATGTACGAATATTTATTTCCCCCACTGTATATATATATATATATATATGGTGGACTGAGGTAATTTGGTAATTTGGGACTTTATTTCCTCCTAATTCCAAACTTGTAGTATGCTTAAATTCATGCAGTTGTGCTATGAAAAGGGAAACCTTACCAGAATAATTTGCCATGAAAATATTTACAGAAAAGTTGTCATGGTGATGGGAAAAGTCAAGATGCCAGGTCAGGATCGACAATATTACAGACTTAATTTTATCAAGAATCTTGAGATAAGATCCATAGTAGGAGTACCAGACCAGATATGGTAGTAAGATGGATTCTCATGATAAAAAATTGTCTGGTAGAACACCGTGAACTAACTTCCTAGCAGTAAACTTAGCAAATGATTTAATGATTCTATTACATGTCAGTAGAAAACATGAGACTCAAGAAGGAGCAATGTGTTCTTGGAGGGAAAAATGGTTCTCTATGACAACTACAGGATAGCAGTTTCATTATGGAGGCATTAATATTTACAAGCCATTTCTTGCTCCAGTTAACAACTGATTGGCGGTCATTTTCAAGAGCAGCTAACAGTTTTACTTTGTCAGACCTGTTGAACTTACTATGAAGACGAGTAAATAGTTGTGTCATCAGCACAGTACCTAGTTGGGAACTGATGACATCATGAAGGTCATTGATAAAATAAGAAACAACACAGATCCAAGGATAAAACCCTGGGGGACAACCACATTAATGTTTGGGCCAAAGGAAGAAAATCATGATACTGACTCATTCATTCAACTGACCCCAGGTAGTTCATGGAACCTATCAGTTCAGTAGTACATCCACTTATTGAGGTACTCTGTTAATAGAAGTAGTGAAATTGCATCCACCACTCGGCCTGTTGCATAGCTTAGACTCTAATCCAGGAGATGAAACTGTTGAGTTGGCTGAAATGTTGGTGGACTTGAAAGTGAATGAGGAACTGAGAGGAAGAGTTGACAAAGAAGATGTCTTTGCCTACATAACGATAAAGGACTCACACCCAAATATTTTTCAACATGTAGAAGCAAGAATCATTTCTTTCTCTACCATATGGATGGTGGAATCTGGATTTTTGCCTGTTGTGGATAGTTTTAGTAGAAAAAGCAATAAATTAGATCTCAACTGCAGAAGAACTTTCAGATAAAGACTGAATGACATCATCAAAATTGATTTTGATATCCTGGTTTACTAAAATAAATTTTAAATAGACTACTTTGTCTTTTCATTGAGTATTTTAGTATGAAAATTGAACAGCTTAAAATTAAAAGTAGGAGTGGTCCATTTGAATTTTTTGAAGAAAAAAATGCCCATGGGCTGAAAAAGATTGAGAAGCATTGGTTTAAAGCACTTGATATTCCCCAACAGTCACCTAAGTGTTGACCAGGCTCAATGTTGCTTAACTTTGGTGATCAGACCAGTTTCAATTTGATTTGGCTTTAAGAAGAATACAAACTGCTTATTTTTAAAGGCTGACAGAAAAGTAGTCCCCATTAAAAAAAGTTGGCAAGATCAAATTTCTTGCCATTGCTTTTCTGAGACAAAGTCAAAAAGATAAAGCCATTGAAGGAAACTGAATGATTACAAATAATAAGAAAAAATTATGAAGAAGCGAATTATGGATGATGGAAGGGAAGATAGAAAAAAAAAGAACGAAAAGAAAATAATAACATTCTCCACAAATCAGAAAAATATGAACATAAAAACGAGAAGTAAGAAGGAAATCAGAAAGTTTATAAAGATTGTGAAAAACAACAAGGAGAGATAAGAATGTGAATGAAAAAATAAATGAGAAAGTAGAAGAAAAGTGGGTAGTAGAAGAAAAGACGCTCAGTGAAAGAAGAAAATTTGAAGAAAATCATTTAGTAGAAAATGAGAAAGGCTAAAAAATCAAAGTGGGAAAATTAATATATAGAGAGAAAAGTATGCAATAAGAACAAAAGAATATATATATATATATATATATATATATATATATATTATTCACATACATGAATTATTCAAACAATTCAAAAGTAATATGCAAAACCTCCAGGTCCATAAATGCTTTAACTACAAACATCTTTAGGTATAGAATAGAGACATGTTGGTTCTTTCTTTTTTTTTCTTAGTAATAAGAGGACAACGAAAATATATGTGTTTTATCCGAAAATGCTATTGAAAAAGAGTTATTGGTTTTGGAACGTGCCAACAGACGAAAGCTTGTAGTAAAAATAACAACTAATACGGCAGAAATTTATATAAACAAGGATCAATTCATTCATAACGGATCTGGAGGTTTTTGTATACTATTTGAATGGTTTGCGATGATGGATGTCTCGCCATTTAAAGCATTAACCTTTGCATTAGTTTTGTGTGAATAATTCATGTATTTGTAAATTGATTGCACGTTTATTGTAATATATATATATATATATATATATGTATGTATATATATATATATATATATATATATATAGAGAGAGAGAGACAGACAGAGGAAGAAAGTAGAAGGTAAAAAATTGGGAAAACAATGAGTTGGGAGAAGAAATCATGTAGAAAGATAAAAAAAAAACTTTCTAAAAAGAAAGAGTATAGAGAAGGAGGAAAACAGTAAATAAAGATGTTTAGGAAAATAGAGGAAAAGAGGGAATCAACAAGTGAGAAAAGGAAAAAGAGTAATTTGCTTTGGTCTGGTCTGTTTTATGGCATATCAACCTAAGTGGGTTATTTAATGCTGACAAGATTTTTATTCCTGGTAATATTTTTTTCAAGAATATATTGCTGCTAATATTTTTTTTCTTCAAAAATTCAATGCTGGTACTAATTTTTTTACAAAAATGTATTGCTGGTACTAAAACCTATTTTTACACTTTCATAATGCTTTGTCTCCTGTTTGGGGGTTAACTATTTGCATATAGCTGGGACCCTAACAGGTGCTACCACCCCAGATCAGGGTGGACCTGGGAACACCAGCAATTAAGAGGTGGTTCCATGCTCCTTAAAACCTCCTGATCAAAAGAATTGCTGTTGGACATAGTTTATTGTCTTACCCAGGATGCAGATATAGTTTATCGACTTACCCAGGATGAAAAGATTAAGTGTTTCAGTTGAGAGGAAAAAGAAGAAGGAAGGTAGAAATTCAAACATCTTGGTTTGTTTGCCATAAGACTGAGAAGATAAGAAAGAAAATGTTTTAAAACTGTCAAAAAAACAGGATGAAAATAGAAATAAAAAATGAAAAAGACTGAGAAGAAAGAATGAGAAAACAAGAGGAAAGAAATTGAAAAAAAAAAAACTGACAAAAAAAGAATGGAAACAGAGATAAAAAGACAAGAAGAAAAATAAAAAAAGATTTAGAAAAAGAATGAATGAAAACAAAAATAAAAGAATTAAGAAGAAAGAATGAGAAAACTAGAAAAATGAAAAAAAAGACAAAAATGAATGAAAATTGTGAATAAAAAAGATTGAGGAAAAAGAATGCAAAGGAAAAAAAAAATTAGAAAATTATAAAGATAGAGAAAAGAAGAATGATTAGAAAAATGATAATGGAAGAAAGAAAACAAAAAAAAAAAATCAAAAATGGAAACAGGCAAAGAAGAATTTTTGATGAAGAATGCGACTGAATGCCCTATCAGGTCATATTGCAAGGTGGTTATGCCTTATGCCTACTTTGCAAACATAAAAGCTATAAATGGAATCTAAACACTGCAGAGAGAGATCTTCAGTTGCTTGCCAACTCTCATGTCCTTCCAGTGTATTTGCATAAGATTAGGATTTTACTGTTTGCTGTGTGTCTTTTACCTGAAAGCCAATGACCTGAGCTGAATATATTTGTTTATGTTTGCATTTTTGATTTATTTCCTCAATAAAATCCAGAGGACAACACCTTAAACTAAATGTAAGATTCTGTTGTAATGTATGGTAAGAGTGTGTTGAGGTTGGTGGAAACACCTAACTGATTGCTCACCCACCAACTGCCTCGGAAACCACAGCAACTCTATGAACAAAATGACTGCCAGAACTGAATTCACAAGACTTCGTGTCTTGCCAACTGCTGACTGCCAGACTAATACAGATGTATTGTATTGCATTGAATCTTAGAGAGATGATGTTGTGGAAGGTTGAGAGATGAAAATTTGACCCTGTAAAAATATTCAACTTTTCAACAAAGGAAAAGAAGAAAGAAGATCAAGTGTGAATTTATATAAAATTTTTATAATCAAGAAATTGTTGAGGTGATTTTTATAATTTGTTTTAATACAGTTTTTTTTATGTAGACAGTTTTTGCCTGGATGCTAATAGACTAGACTCAGAAAGATTTCTTAATAACTCTTCTTATTATGTTGACTAAGACTTTTACTCAGTCTGCTATCCAAAGTAACTATTTGATACAATGCCTTTTATTTATACCTGGTTTAGTATGAAACACTAGGATACAGACATATATTTAAAAGAAAAAAATACTTGTTTTTATTCTCAAGTGCATTACAAGAAGAGTGTAAAATTTCTAATAGCTTAATAACTATACATATTTTTTTTAATCATTTTACTCCAAGTGATAATGGCACTAAGACACAAGGAGTTACTGAGAGTGGAAGAGAATGAAAAGACATTATTTAGGACAAAGTACCATCAAAGAGCAGGAATCAGGAAGAAAGAAGATGGTGATTAATATTGCATTTAAATTTTTGAAGATTGTAAGTGGCAGGGAAACAAGAAATCAGAAGAGAGTTCCACAGGTGAGAAGTGTGAAAAGAGAAACTATTAAAATAAAACTTATGGTTACATCTAGCTAGTTCGACAGTATAACAATGAGACCTAGCAGCCAATTTAGTAGAACAATTAAATGCTCAAAAGATTAATAATTTGATATATGTTTTAAATGTTGTGTAAATTTTATCTTTATAAGTTATTTTTTATTTTATTGTAAGTTGTAATGCCCTCAGTAGGGATACGATATTTTATTAATAATTTTCAATAAAAAGAGGTTTTCATTTTGTCTGAAACTGATTAATTAATAGAATATGTGTCTGCTCTGATTTGAATCTGTCTAATTTGTTTATTTTACTAAATCTTGATTTATATCAAGTTTTAAAGTTCTTCCTCACAAACTCTCCTGTATCAATGAGGGTCATGAATTAACACAAGAGTGGTGAAAAGTATAAGACTGCTATCTGTAACATGTAAATGCACTGGCAATTATTTTCTATGAAAATGTACTGAAAATTAATGTTATGAACACCTATAAGATAGCATTGAAAGAACAAATAAAACAATAATACTGCTGGTGAGGTAAAAGGAGAAGAAAACACAAATTGTAAATATAGAATTCCTTTAGAGTTTGTCTATATTTCTGAGATGAGGTATTATGTACAGTATTTACATTAGTCGGACTATTGTCCTCATCTTTGTCGCCATATTTGTCACAATGTTTCGGCCGTTGTACGCTCCGGCCTTCTTCAGGTGGTTGGAATTTCGAACTGAACCCTTTATTTCGATTGCTGGGGTAGACTGTTCTAATTCCACGTGCCATGTTTGATGGATGTCAGATATCAGTTATCTCCTGTTAATTTTCCCTCTGAAAGTTCTCCACTGCCTTAACCAGGAATTGAACTCACCTTCTTTGGGTCTGTCACTGGATCTAACCAACGCCTTTATCCACTGTGCCATGTGTCCTTGAGTTTTTCAGAGGGAAAATTAGCAGGAGATAACTGATAACTGACATCCATCAAACATGGCACGTAGAACTAGAACAGTCTACCCCAGCGATCGAAATAAAGGGTTCAGTTCGAAATTCCAACCACCTGAAGAAGGCAGGAGCGTACAACGGCCGAAATGTTGTGACAAATATGGCGACAAAGATGAGGACAATAGTCCGACTAATGTAAATACTGTAGAATTCCTTTGTATTGATAATACAGTGGATCTGAGTAAGATATTTCTAATATAGGCTGCAGAAGGTGGCTTTGAAGAAAGAGTAGAGTTAACAATGTCTGGAGTTAATGCATTTGTTAGGCCTGTTGACTGAGGTCATGGTGGTGATGTTAAGAGAGGCCTTGAGTGGATTAGTGAAGACGTGAACCCAACCTGTTGTTTATGTTTGGCTTTTGTAAAAGCAAATGCCTTGGCTCCTGAGCTCATATTTTGTTCATATTTTTTTTCTCTGGCAACAGCATTCATGATTGGCTTATTTCATGTTGTTATTTTATATTTGTTTTGTGACGCATGGAGTCCTTGAATGAGCTTCCAGTCCCCACTCAGTGATATTGTTAGCCTATTTCTTTCTGTGTTTGCCTTTTCTTCTTTTTCCTAACGCTGTAATTTGTCAGATGGCAGTGAAAAAACCAGATTTTTAAAATGCCTGTCTTTATCTCTAGATGAGGTTTATGATTATTTAATTATTTAAATGCCTTCATTGCCATTTATCTATATATCTGAGATGAGGTATTATGATTATTTACATTATTTATACGGTTATCCTCATCTTCATTGCCATATTCACAACACTTTGGCCTCGATATATCTGAGATGAGGTATTATGATTATTTACATTATTTATATTATTCAGACTTTTATCCTTGTCTTCATTGTCATATTCACAACATTTTCAGCTTTCTTTAGGTGATTGGAATTTTGAACCAAACCCTTTATTTCATCCACCAGGGTAGATTGTTCTAGTTCCACGTGCAATGTCTCTTCTGCATGTCTCAGTTATTCCCCTTTAATTTAACTCTCCAGCAGTGGTGAACCAAAATTTAAATAAAGGGTTCAGTTTGGAATTCCAATCACCTGCAGAAGGCCGGAGTGTACAACGGACAAAACATTGTGAATATGGCATTGAAGATGAGGATAATAGTCCGAATAATGTAAATACAGTAAAATGATAATACAAGCTTGGACAATCATGTCACTTTAAATACATGATTGACAAGGCAGAAATTTTTCTTATAGTAGGTTGCCGTTTCTTTCTGCGGTAGACTGGTTGCTAACCAAGGCTATAGGACCCAGTCTGTCTTGCTCTTCAACCCATAGCTGGTTGAGGGTAGAAGAGAGGGATTCATACACACTCTCCACTCTGCAGTTTCTTTCCCACAGAGACAATGCCATAAGCTTATCACAGCTCTGTTGAAAAGAATAGAACTCATTTGAACATTTGCCATGGACATAGGTCTATGGCAAATGTTTAAATGAGTTCTATTCTTTATTTCTACCAATTCAGATTTTTACAGATACAACATGCTATGCTACTTTTACAGAGTTGTTACGCTCCTCATTTTTCTTTATATTCCAAATTTAAAGGGAAAGTTCCACTTGGATAGTATTTCCCAAGAATTACTACATTTTAGAACAGATTCTTGAATGTATAGTTCCATGAACATGACACCTAGAGTCAAATCACATTGAAAATTCCAGTTCTAGTCCAATCACTATAGTTAATCAATGTCAGTACTTAGATGGAGGACTGCTGTGGAACACTAAGTACCATAATCTCCTCCAATCTGAAATAAACCACAAAAATCGATAAGCAGTAAAAAAAATAATCAGTCAATCCCTGAGGGGAACCTTCTTAACCTCTTTAAGTCAAGGGTTAATCATTATGTATTACATTCAGTTCGTTTACAGCAGGCAAACCATAAGGTTGCTTTCTTTAGCCCTGGCAGAGGATAAATCTGCAACCCCACAACTGCAGCTTACAGGTCCATGGTGCTGTTTACCTTTCCCAGATATAGAAAGAAACTTCAGACAACAGTCCTCCTTTTGGGAAAACTCAAGACTTGTGGAATATTTTCTTGTCTGGGACATAGACAAATCTGGCCTATTTGAAACTGGAGTCCTAAACATGGCTTCTCCAGACACAGGAGTATCTCCGTATTATATGTATGACATTTCTTTTTTCTTTCTCCTCACACAATGCTTACTGTGTAGATATATGTGATATATTATTCTTTGTGTGGGACAATTGTATATATGTATATATATAGTTTTGTGTATGTCTTAGTGGTATAAAATTCTCTCTGCGAACAAAGCATGTTTGTCATTTCTTTTCCTTTCAGCTATTCTGTTCCAACCGTGAAATACAATGATATTATATCATGGATATAATAATGCCTATAATGGGAGAAAAACAAATGGGAGAATAAACCTTTCTTCTATAGCTCTCTTATAAAACCTTTTTGTCTCATTTTAATGGTTATCCACATGTAAAGTGAAATTGGCAAGGCAAGTTTAAATTCTAACCTAGCCTGTTTTATTCCATCCATGAATTACAATGGTATTATATTATGGATATAATAATAATGCCTATAATGAGGGAAAAACAAATGGAAGAATAAACGTTTCTTCCAGAGAATTCTCCTGTTATGCTTGCACGAATCCTTTAACACTGGAAATTCCATTCTTCTTTATTTTCATGGTACAAAAGTTAAATTAAGCACCAAAATATTTTCAAAGACATTTTTGGTAAAATATTGTAAAATTTCATGTTTGGACATGAAATGCTTTTTTTTTTTTTTTTTTTTTTGTTTGTCTGCACAAAAAAAAAAATAAAACCAAAGTTTGGTTTAAAGTCTGGAGGAAATAAGAAGAAAAAGACCAAACTGTATATTTGCCAGATTTAGTTGATACTAAAATTACATCCATGTCTGTTTAATGTCTGTAACACTAGAGAAAATAGCTTACCCCCAGGATGGAAATGAATTCAGATGTGTCTCGCATGTAAAATATTCCCAGAAAGAAAATGGCTTCACGAGACGTATATTTAAAA